TATCTATCTCCCTGTGTGAGCTCTCCCAAGGTTTTCATTTGCGTTCTGTCTGTAACATCAGCATACATTTCAGAAGGTGACAAAGCAAGGTGCAGTGGATGGGTGTACTTTTTATTTAAGTTTTTTTTATTTTATTTTTTATTTTAGCTTTGACTCTTTTGAAGGAGAGGGAAATATCCAATTGCAAAACATTGCTTGTTTCTACATAAACCAAATTCCTTTGCCTAAACAAGAGGCAATTGTTGTCATAGTGTTTGGTTTATTTCCATGATTCAGACCTCATTTTATAGCACACTGAAAACACAGCTTTGCAAGATCACATTATCTTTTTTTTTTTTTTTTTTTTTTTAACCCAACAGATTTTAGCAGGGCTAACTTCATTTTTTCTAGCTTTTCATTGTAATAAAGATTGACATGTTATGAGTAATTTATAAATTACAAAACCAAATTTTAATAAAATGATAACACTTAAGAATTACGTTATTGGGTAGTATTTGTAATAAGGGCCTTTAGTAGCCTACATTATTTCTGATAGTATTTCTACATATCAGTTTATTACCATATATAATGATACATGAAATGAACCCTACTAACCACCAGTTATAATAACTAAATTTGGTGTATTAGTTAACATAAAAGCGTAAACTTGAAACATTAAAAATGTAGTCAGTGGACATACTTCTACTGATCTATTTATTGATTGGTATACAAGTTTCAAGGGTTGAGTATTGTCTGTGTACAAACATTTGATATTTCTGTTGCTTTCATTTGATCAGAAGAAGATCTGAAAGGGAAAACATCTGATAAGGCCACGGAGAGGAAAAGGTGAGACAACAATATATAACTGAGCCAGTTACATTTGACAGCTAGAGTTCTGCTGAAATTGTTTTGTCCATGGCCAGACTCAAATTTGTGGTCAGTGGTACATGATCCATATACAAGTTTGATTTTAATCCCCAATAATTAAAATCTATTCATAATGTTATTTCACCTCCTCAAAAAGAATTTCTTAAGTTATTTTCAAGCGCAAAGACAAGCGTCCACCTGACCACAGAGGGGCGCCAGTGTGGTATAAAGTAAAGACATTGGCACCCACGTGGATTCAGGAGCGGAAGTCGGAAGTGCTCGTGCGCACAGCCCCGCCTCCTCGTTTCCATGCATTGGCGCGCTTCACCGTGGCCGCTCGGCTCCGCTGCTCTGCTGCTCCGCTGCTCCCGTGTCCTGGTGCTGCAGCTGGTGGCGGACTGACTGACTCTGAAGCGGGGCTGCTGTAATACAGACGGCATGATGGCGGCGGGTAGCTCTCGCTCCGGTTCGGCCTCAGGCCCGGTCCAACAAGGGCTGAAAGAGGCGCTTATTGAGACACTGACGGCCATCCTCTCCCCAGTGCAAGAAGTGCGCGCTGCCGCGGAGGAGCAGATCAAAGTGCTGGAAGTGACAGAGGGTGAGTGGCTGCTCCAGCCCACAGATTATACACGGTTAGCTGTAATGTCCTACCGATTAATCAATAGGATCCAAGATAACTGTGCGGCATCTGCTTCTTCACATAAGCTAAGATTACCCTAAGGTTAGCTTGAGTGTAGGCCAGTTATTGTTAACTTAGTCAGAAAGTTAGCTCAGAAGCCCGTCCTGTTGTTCTGGTGTTGCTTAGGCTTAGGTTTGTCTTTTGCCTATTGTGGTTGACAAAATGAGTTTGCTGCACTGCTTTTCTATCAAATGTGAAGTAAATGTGTTAGCAGCAGTCATTAGACTTGAGCACATGGAGACCCTGCCTGGCCTCAGCCACATACTCAGTGTCAAAATATGTGTGCTCAATATAATTAATCATTGCATCTTTAGGTAACACAGCTATGGCATACATTTAGGCTCCGATGGGTGCTGCTTCATAGTCATATTAAAGCCCTGTTCGTATTTGTTTCTCAAAATAGTCTTTCCGTTTCCACAGTGGATGGCATATTTGTCCCGCTTACATTCCTTTGGCAGGTCCCGCCTCAGCAGCCATCCACTTCATCAACACTTTGAAGGGACATAATATTGTACCACCAGCATCTCTGACATCTCTTGCTACTCTTATACTGTAGCACATTTGAGCTCATAAAATGGTTTACACTGTGCTCAATGCAGACATATTTACAGATATTCGAGGGTCCAGGGCCAGTAGACTCGCATGGGTCCTCCTTATAAGTTAATAGTAAGAGGGTACAATTCTGCATTCCTTTTTTACAAGTATTATCAAATTCTTCAAATAGGCCATTTGCCTATCTATTGCCTATAGCGGTTTGGTGCATTGCTGGCTCTGTCAGTTTGTGATGGCCACATATTGTGAGCCTGTGTGCGGCCCCTCTTACCATCCACTGCAGAGATGTCAGCACTCGCTTTGTCTTCTGGCGCCTGATGTCACTTTCACTAAAGCCCTGTGTCACAGAGGGGTTAAGTTTATCCTCATCCTGAACTATAAGGCTACAAAGTTAATTGTTAATGAATTGAAAACTAAATTTGAATGGTTGCTTAGCATGAATTTATTTAGGTAACACAACTTCCCCTGTTAAAAGCATACATCTCAATAGGGTCTCAAAATACTTTTTACCTCTTTAATTTGTGTAGGCCAGAGGTCTCCATCCTGTAGCCCTGGAGCTACCACTAACTCTCCACCCCTTCCAAGTTGCTTGCCAAGTAATTTCTGAATTACTTGTATTCTGCTGAATAACAACATTTTTGGTTAATTACGTGGCTATTACCATTGTACATCATTTTGATTCCTAAATTTGTACACCCATAAATGTTTATGTTTTATAGGCATCTAACTGTACCTATCTAAGGCCATGGCTCTTCTATTTACTCAGTTTCTTGTGACCGCTAAAATAAGTAGCTCTCTGGTATTTTCATTTTGTAAATGTAGCTCAGTGGAGGAAAAAGTTTGGATACCCCCGGTATAGACTTAGACACACTTAATTGATCCACAAGAGAAATTATTTGGACACAGTAGCTCACACATCACAATAAATATAAGAACAATGAGCAAAAATAAGGAAAAATATAAATACATCTGCAAAATACATCTGAAATGTATGATTCTTCTGTTAGTTTATCAGCTCATATTCCAATGAGTATATGAGTATATTATGTTTTCTTTTGTAGAATTTGGTGTCCATTTGGCTGAACTCACTGTAGACACCCAAGGAGCACTAGCTATCCGTCAGGTGAGATGTTTTTAACAACCATGGTAATGTTTTTTTTTTTTTTTTTTTTTTTAATTCTAAAGTTTAATAATTTTTCTCTTTTTCCACCTGTCCAGTTGGCTTCTGTCATCCTAAAGCAGTATGTTGAAACGCACTGGTGTTCACAGTCAGAAAAATTCAGACCCCCAGAAACTACAGATCAGGTGAGTAATAAAACAACATAGAATAACGAAACAGAAGTACGCGTCATTGGTATCAGTAACAAAAACTAGGGGTGTCAAATCATCACGTTAATTGCGATTAATTAATTACAGTCATATTTAGCGTGTTATGTTTTTAATCGCGTTAATCTCATTTTTAATCTCTAACTTTACTGTTTCTGTATGTGAGTTGCTTTATTATAAAATCTGTTTTTATGTGTTGTTGGGACAACAACACACACACAAAAAAAAAACACATTTATAATTTTTTTTTATTTCGGTAATTCCACTCATTGCCGGAAACCCACACAAAACGCGCGCAGTAAGAGCGATGTAAACATCATGTTAACGTTGGCGCTGTCAGTCGCACAATGGACGAGGTCGAAGAGCCAGTAGAACAGAGTCAGCAGTGCACAGGTAAAAACGCATTCGTGTCTTGGAAATTCTTCTCCCGACGTGAAATATAAAAGAAAATAACCAATATAAAATCGCCTACAACTTAAATGTCACTGGTGAAAACAACCTGCATAGGCTCATGATGTCTGCACTACTGTCCTATAGTGACCTGCCACATGAGGGGACACGCACACAAACACACACACAAACACAAACACACACCTTCATCATCGTCATTAACCTGAGAACGCGCGGACCACGTTTCCTTCCGCAGTTACTGCGCAAACACCGACGTCCTCCCATGCGCCGTGTGTGGACCGTGTTTTCTGTGCTGCGCTGCGCAAACCGCGCTTCCTTCTGTGAGCCTCTAAACCAGAACCAACACCAAGACTCAAACCGGGACTAACCCAGTCCAGGACTAAACCAGGTCTAAACCAGAACTAAACCCAGGACTAAACCCAGGACTAAACCCAGGACTAAACCCAGGACTAAACCCAGGACTAAACCCAGGACTAACACCAGGACTAACACCAGGACTAACACCAGGACTAACACCAGGACTAAACCCAGGACTAAACCCAGGACTAACACCAGGACTAACACCAGGACTAACACCAGGACTAACACCAGGACTAACACCAGGACTAACACCAGGACTAACACCAGGACTAACACCAGGACTAACACAGGAACACCAGGACTAACACCAGGACTAACACCAGGACTAACACCAGGACTAACACCAGGACTAACACCAGGACTAACACCAGGACTAACACCAGGACTAACACCAGTGATCTCATATATAAAGCATTTCTCTATCAATAATATTTTTAATATGGTTAAGGAAAGACTGGACTTTTTATTGTCTTTAAGTAGACAAAAGTTATTATGTTCAGATTTCCTCGTCTTTGCTACTTTACAGCAAACAGTTTCTTGTTCATGGAGACTTGGGCTCAACAGCCAATTTGAAGAGAACAAACAAGAACAACATTTGCAGGATGCGGTTGCTACATTCATGTAGTTTTAAAAAGCATGACAATATCAAGTAATCCAAAGTATTCAAATTACGTTACTCACTTTAAGTAATTAAATGGATTAAGTTACAAACTACATTTTGGGGTATGTAATCTGTAATCTGTAGGGGAATACATTTTAAAAGTCACCTTCCCAACACTGCAGATTAGTAAATAGTAATAATAATGATGATACTGTGGAATGTAAGTGACTGCTTCTGTTAAAGTTTGTTAAACAATAAATGACTTTATAAAGTCACTTTTTTTTTTATCTATATCAGTCTTTTGATCTGCCACAATAATGTAATAATGAATTTAAATGAAAATACCTCAAATTGAAGGCTTTTCTCACCATTTTTTAGGTGATATTAAAAAGAGATTAATTAGATTAATTAATCACAGATCATAATTAATTAATCTCTCAATTTTTTTAATCACATGACGGCACTAACAAAAACATATTGCTGTATTGTCTTCTTCAAGGCTAAAGCAGCCATTCGAGAGTTGCTACCCAGTGGTCTCCGTGAGTCCATCAGTAAAGTACGCTCCAGTGTGGCCTACGCTGTGTCTGCCATCGCTCACTGGGACTGGCCTGAAGCCTGGCCACAGCTCTTTACTTTGCTCATGGACATGTTAATCAGTGGAAACGTTAACACTGTCCACGGGGCCATGAGGGTCCTCACAGGTGCGTAATCATTAACCATGACATCATCACCTGCAATCACTCAACATGAAAGTTACAATATTGTTTTCAAGATTTAATCTACAAAATGTCTGTTTAGCCATCCATGTATAGATAATGCAATCTATTACATTGGAGGTAATATAGAATAGAATTATTTGATTTGCCATACTTTCAGAGTTCACACGAGAGGTCACAGACACACAGATGCCTTTGGTGGCTCCAGTCATTTTACCTGAAATGTACAAGATTTTCACTATGGCTGAGGTAAGTAAGACTTCATATTTTTCTATTGTGTTTTTTTCCATTTGATATCTATTTGTTTTGAATTATTTTTCTAATTACTGCAGGTGTACAGTATCAGGACGCGTTCAAGAGCTGTGGAGATTTTCACTACCTGTGCCAACCTCATCTGTGCGATTGAGGAACTTGAAAAGGTATAGCCCCTGTTCAACCACACCCCATAATAGTTATGGCTGTCAAACAATTCAAATGTTTAATGTTGGCAGCTCTGATAATGCATATATTGACCATCCCCAATAATGTATAGCTTTATGAAAATCATTATTTTAGTTTCCCTAATCTCATTTTGTTGTACTTTTTTGGTAGGGTGCAGCCAAAGCATTGATATTCCCTGTGGTGCAGCAATTCACAGAAGCCTTTGTGCAGGCTTTGCAAATGCCTGATGGACCTTCCTCTGACAGTGGTCTGAAAATGGAGGTCCTCAAGGTGAACCTCACAGTTGAACAGTGCATTGCTGAAACAAACATCGCACTGTTTAAATATGTTTGATTTAAACTATTTTTGTCTGTAGGCCGTGACGGCGTTGGTGAAAAACTTCCCTAAACCTATGGTGTCATCCATGCAGCAGATTCTACCAATAGTGTGGAACACATTGACTGAAAGTGCAGCTTTATATCCTTTTTCTTCTTTCTTATTCTATTTACAAATTACAAACATTATCAAAATCTATCTTTTTTGCTGGTAATTTTATTTTTTTATTTTTACATTTGGATTGTCACATTATCTCCTGGTTAAGATGAGCAGCAAGTCACAATATTACACTGAGGCCTAACAATTTACAAACTGACAAACATACATACAGTCATGTTTAGTTTTACTAGTGACACACTGCACTATTAATGAAATTTTAGAAGGTGCTTGGATTGTGGGGATTATTGATGAGGCAAGAGGAGTTCTAAAAAGTGTAGATCAGGGATTTCTTCTGAACTATACTACAATAACATCAAGTTGTATTTATAGATATGTTGGCTCTGTCTACATGAATGCATCCATTTGTTTTCATCTATCTGAAGGATTTGCTGTATTGACAAAGCGTCTGCGGCCGGGGCCCTCCGTTATGAATATGTTCTTTGTAAAACAAAAAAAAAAGTTTGGACATTCCACTCTAAACTCATACATGCCCCTGATTGGATCCTTAACATAATCTTACTTATGTCAGAACAGAGGTAAATTACACAGAGGAAGTGGATGACCCAGTGGATTCAGATGGTAGGTTTTGTTGCATAAAGCTTAAGCAGATTTAATTTTATTTATTGTGTTTATTTTATTTTATTTTTTTCCCCCACAGGTGAGGTTTTAGGCTTTGAGAACCTGGTCTTCAGTATCTTTGAGTTTGTCCACACACTCCTGGAGAACAGCAAGTTCAAGAGCACCGTGAAGAAGGCCCTGCCAGAGCTTATCTATTACATCATCCTCTACATGCAGATCACAGAAGATCAGGTATTTTTTTAATCACATAAAATTGTTTTAACATCCATTTTCATTAAAATTACTCTGCTTTACTTAACTTGCAAGATGGGTGTTGTGTTTTTGTCAGATTAAAGTGTGGACTGCCAACCCTCAGCAGTTTGTGGAGGATGAAGATGATGACACCTTCTCCTACACAGTCAGGATCTCTGCTCAGGACCTGCTGCTGGTAAGATAAATATTTTTCATTAGTAAAAATTTGTTTCATCTACATGCATAGGAATGTTTTAAAGAAAATGCAGAAAAGGGGGAAAATAATGTAAACTAACCATATATTTTAAAATTAAGACACTGGTTACTTTTTTCTAGATTCAGTGTAACACTTCTAACTTCCTAAAAGTGCTCAAAGATGACCCTTGACCTTTTGTCTTGTGCAGGCTGTAGCTGCAGAATTTCAGAACGAAAGTGCAGCAGCTCTGGCAGCCGCAGCTACTAGACACCTCCAAGAGGCAGAACAGGCCAAAAACAATGGCAACGAGCACTGGTATGATGCTTTTTAACACTGTTTGGGAACAAGCTCTGTCAGAGAAGCTTTGACTGAATGTTCCATTATAGCAGAGAGGCAAGATTCTTAAGACAGACACCAGTTAATCGGGTAATCACAACTATACAATGGCAAAGTGCAGTGATGTTGATGGAGTCATGTAAGGGGACATGTTCGCATCAGTTCTGTTCTCAGTTCTTTCCCAATTGGACACCATGGCATATCAGCAGAATAATGAATGTACTATGACTCGTTCATTCATAACACCTGTCTTTTTCTTGCCAGGTGGAAGATCCATGAAGCCTGTATGCTGGCACTTGGCTCAGTCAAAACGATAATCACAGAAAATGTCAAGAATGGTCGTATTCAGTTTGATATGCATGGCTTTCTGGCTGGTGTCATTTTGGCTGATCTTAACCTCGCTGGTAAGAACTCAGGAGTTGGAATAACGTCTGTTCCTCAAAGTTTATTTGAAAGAATGATGTAATATAAGGGAGAATGAAGCATTATAGGGCATCAGTCACAAGATATTTGAGATATAACATCCAAATAATACTGCCGTCACATGGGCCACACACAGTTTAAATACTGACCCTCTTTCCTTTTCTTGTCTAATTTCCATGCAAAATCTACATGTGAAAAGTAAAATGTTTAAACTGTAGTGACGTCATGTATTGTGTTTCCCAGTAATAGAGGAGACTATGGTGGCCCCCCATAGTCTAACAAAAAAACTAACTTTATGCTTGTAATATTCCTGTAAAGATAGAAGTAACCATATTTTATCTGTATTTTTATTTATTTTTATCAGCATCTCTAAAGTAATTTATGCTCCATATAACTATTGAATAAAGTGGTACATATATGGATCGCTTGTGCTGTCATACTCTCAGTATAAACTTGTGGGAAACATGAATGTATAAGTCTATAGCAGTTCTTATTAATTTATTATGAATCTGTTTTTGCTGACAAAACCTTGTGTTCTTGCATGTGTCTGTGTTGTTCTGAGCAGCAGCGTCTCCCTTCCTCCTCGGTCGTGCTCTGTGGGCAGCCAGCCGCTTCACAGCCGCCATGTCTCCAGAGCTCATTCAGCAGTTCCTCCAGGCCACAGTGAGCGGCCTCCATGACAGCCAGCCCCCCTCTGTGCGCATCTCTGCAGTTAGGGCCATCTGGGGGTGAGAGGGCTTTTAAAGACTACTGCAACACATAGTTTTGATATAGGAAATATTGGTATGTATTTATCAAAGAGTGTCCAAACAAAGGTGGTGGTGCCTAAATTGGAATACAGAACAACCCCAAAATTAGTTTGTGGTTGCACCTGTCTAGTCCTGGTGTAGTCTTTGTTTAATCCTTAATTTAGTCCTTGTCTGTACAGCTGTCTTCTTGGGCCACCCAGAAGATGGTATATTTTTTGGGGGCTTTTTTGGGTTTCTGTATGAAATATACATAGGTCATTATTTTACGTTTTGCACTGCATTCGGGATACAGGAAGAAAATGTGCCATACTGACTATAATCTTTATGTGGTAATTGGCTAGATAAATAAACATGTAAATGTTCATTGTGTTGTGCCCTTCAGAAATAAATACAAAATGAGAGGAAACTCTGTGCATGTATGGATAAAAATTCAACCTAGAGTAGGTTAATGATGACATGACAGTTAATTTTACATAATATATACCCTTTTTAAAGGATTTCTTTTAAAAATCATATTTCTCAATCAAACATTAGGTCCTACATAATTCTAAACTCCCTTCTGTACTCACATTTGCAGATACTGTGATCAGCTGAAGCTCTCTGAGAGCACTCAAGTCTTGCAGCCCTTCCTGCCCAGTGTCCTGGAGGGCCTGGTGCAGCTGGCCGCTCAGTTCAGCTCTGAGGTGCTCACCCTTGTCATGGAAACACTGTGTATCGTCTGTACTGTGGACCCCGCCTTTACCACCAGTGCAGAGAACAAGATCTGCCCACTCACCATTGCCATCTTTCTTAAATACAACAATGGTAATTAACCCCCCCCCCCAATGAGAGAGGATCTAAAGCCCCAAATCACCCCAACTCTTAGATGTTTTAACTTAGAACATAGATCCATTATAAATAGCCAGCAGGTGACTTTAATGCCCTATATTCATCTGCCTTTTGTCTGCCTCTGTTAGACCCAGTGGTGGCGTCTTTGGTCACAGACATCTTTAAGGAGTTGGCACAGATTGAAGGATGTCAGGGCCCAATGCAGATGCGCCTCATCCCCACATTAATCAGCATCATGCAGACCCCTTCTGACAAGATCCCCACTGGACTTTGTGCTGTGAGTAGCTCTGTCCATACACAGTTCACTCTTTCTTGCTCTGTGTCAGTCTTCCAGTCTTCATCTACTCCTTCATCTCTTTTCAGCGCTCCTCCTATTTTCCTCTTCTTTCCTCTTCAACTCTTTGTTGTTATGTTGGATTTTGGTGTCACCTTTTTTACTTGACAAATAAACAATTGTTATGTTTTTGTTATTAGTAGCTCATTGGGCTCATAATATTCATGACATGACATGACATATATTTCATCATTGTAAATTGTGATTATATTTTTATATTTATTTAAATGCTATAATCAGCCTTTTCTTTTATATTGTCTTTCAACCTAATTCTTTTATCTCCTTAGACTTCTATAGATATTCTGACTACAGTCGTGAGAAACAGTAAGCCCCCATTATCAGAAATGCTTGTCTGCCAAGCTTTTCCTGTGGTTGCCCAGTGCACTTTACGCACAGATGATAATGCTATAATGCAGGTGAGTTATTTTGTTTGTTTGTTTTTTTTTACTTTTATGTGGTTTATTTTTAGTCACTCCCTGTTTTCATTGCTGCTGTTTCTGGCCTGTACTCCAGAATGGTGGTGAGTGTTTGCGAGCCTATGTGTCAGTGGCTCTGGAGCAGATCGCGCAGTGGAGAGACGAACAAGGGAACAGTGGACTCTGGTACGTGATGCAGGTGGTCAACCAGCTGCTGGACCCCCGTACCTCAGAGTTCACCGCTGCCTTTGTGGGACGCTTGGTGTCCACTCTGATCTCTCGGGCTGGGACAGAACTTGGGGAACAGCTGGACCAGATCCTCCGGGCAATCCTTAGCAAAATGCAACAAGCAGAAACGCTCAGTGTGATGCAGGTACATATGCTTTTTAAAGGGCCCATATTACACTATTTTCTGATCTGTTGTAATGTTTCCTTATCACAAACATACCTGGAGTTGTGTTTTGTTTCATACACACATTTAACACACAAACCCTGCATATGTAGGCTCTTGGAGAATTCTCTCAAACAAGGTGGATCAGACAGGAAGAGCTCTATACACCTTGACGAGAATCATTTGGATAATTTAGGCCCAGGCCAATTATTACTGAACAAAAGGTAAAAAGTAGCTGTTAACTTGAAGACAAGGTATGCTTAGAGAGATGTAGACCAACAAAGAGTTATTCAAACAAGTGAAACAAAACAATTCCATGCATGTTTTTGATAAGCTAGCAATATTCTAAGATGTTTAAAAGCTCACAAGAGTCAATTCTGTGTGATATAAGACCTTTTAAAAAAGATTAATTGAATATAATACAATATTTTCTTCTCATTGATAAATTATATAAAACCAAAGAATCATACAGCTATTGCATTGTATAGACCTACTGAGATTGACCCAGTATGATTCTGCTTGTACCCAGTCTCTGATCATGGTGTTTGCTCACCTGGTCCACTCTCAGCTGGAGCCGCTGCTGGAGTTTTTGTGCAGTTTACCAGGGCCAACAGGAAAACCAGCTCTGGAGTTTGTCATGACAGAGTGGATGAGTCGGCAGCACCTTTTCTATGGACAGTACGAAGGAAAAGTCAGGTAATTTCTATTATTTCTTGACGTATTGATGTAACTGAATACTTTTTTAAAATTAAAATCTCAAAAGTGATTCACTTAAAAATTGATGGTGGTGGGCCATCTATAATCATGTCTGGTTTAAAGATAGTAGGATTGTCTACTTTAGTTCATTGTTGGAGAATAAATTATCTTCTGCTGTCATTTGTACGCGTTTGCAGTACGGTTGCATTGTGTAAGCTGTTACAACATGGTCTGAACACAGAGGATAAACGGCTCCACGACATTGTTGTCAAAGGAGAAGAAATCTATGCCCCTGAAGAAGGAATACGCACTCGCTCCAAATCAGCAAAAAGTAAGTGTTAGAGCTAAGCTTAATTTCACTGTTCAAACTGTAATATATGGATAAAACAGATTAGGGCTGGGTGATTTGGGAAAGAAATCTCGATTTGATCTTCTTCCTTCTTATTAAAAACATAGACTATCGATGTTTCAATTAGTTGGCAGGCCTAAAAAAGATTTTTTAAATATATAAATTTTTTTTTAAATTTTTTGTCCCCAAGACCCCGAGAGATGGACCAACATTCCATTGTTGGTTAAGATCTTCAAACTTATTATCAACGAGCTGGCCACAGTGGTTGAGTCAAATGCCTGCAGAGCAAATGCAGCAGACTGGAGTCAAGGTTGGAACTTCACCTTTTCCATCTTTACATTTTATCCATGTTCTGTGAGGTCTTTATTCCATGTTTAGATATAGCTACCTATTCTTTTTTCTTACGGCAACACCAACAACCATTTTGTTCATCAGATTCAAGTGGGATGTGGGAGGATGAGGAAGAGGAAGGGGATGATGACGAAGAGGAGGATGAAGGACTGGCGGGACAACTACTTTCTGATATCATCGCCTCAAACAAATATGGTACACATCTCAGACTTTTCACCCACAATGTATTCTCAGTTTGAAATTGAGAAGTATCCCTTTAAATGTTTTCCCCTTTTTACAGATGATGACTTTTATGAAGATGATGAAGAGGATGATCCAGATGCTTTAAAAGATCCTATTAATCACATTGACCTTCAGGTAGAGTTTCAAACAAATGCCTGTGTGTGCTTTTTGTATTGAGTTAGTGTCAGTCTTAAAGGTTGTTTTCACACGTGTTACTGCTCTTTGTGGACCAACCCCAGTGCGCACTAGATTTAGTTCTGTTTACTTTACGTTTGGGTCGGTCTTGTTCACAAATACTGCACGTCATTCACCCTAAACACGCGCTATGAGCCACGTGAGACATCAGCTGATCACCAAACTTATTTCCATGACAATGAGCTACAAGAGGACAGAGCTCAGTGAATACATGCGCAGGCACTCAGGTTGCTATATGCGATGGCCTTTTCTTGAAGCTGTGCCTAAACACTCCATGAGAACTGTACATCCTGGTGACAGAGGCTTTTGCACGACACACAGACCCAAGCGCGCAGCTCTCGGAGCTCTCTTTACGTCAGCCTAACTAGTGGCTTTGTGAAAACAACCTAAGCTTTTATAATTTGTTGAGTAGACTGACACATGCTTGTTTTGTCTTTTACCCAGGCTTACTTAACAGACTTCCTGACGCAGTTCGCACAGCAACCTTGTTACAGCATGTTTTCAGGCCATCTCAACAACAACGAGCGGCAAACTCTGCAGTCAATAGGACTTTAGCCCTGCCTCAAACTACTCCTGATCATTGTCAAACCTCTTGTGGCCCCATCACTCAAATATGAATTTCTAATGCTTGGAGTGGAAGGGCTTCGTGAAGACAGGGTTGGAGATTTAAGGACTTGCACTTATCCATTACCTCTGTTTCTCCCTGTTTGTGATGGGATGAAGCACTTCGCAAATATTCAAGAGGATATGCATTGAAAGACATTGGAGGAGATTCCAATGAAGGCTATTTTGGGTTGGTAATCTCTTCAACACTTAAAAGTGAAGCTGATACTCAACAAAGGGAGGGTTGCTGAGTAAATTATGAAACACAAACTTTTACTCCTTTGTTCTATTTGTAATTAAACCTATTGTCTTTGTGTTTCTGTAAACATGGAGTGAAACTAAAGACAGTCTTTGATTAGAGGGAAATCTTCCTGATGTTTGAGTACACATTTCAGAGGCCTTATATTCCAGCAAACATTGACTGTTTCTCGTTGTAAATGAAAGCTCTTAGACCTGCCATCATATCAAGGGGAGATGGTGGCTATTTGGGAATTCACTGTTACCACAGTGATCGCAGCATTGTCATTTCCCGTTTCCAATTCAGATGCTGGACAGTTCTAAATAAAAGTCCCTTATGGAAAATATTTTCATACATTTAGTAATTTTTTGTCTGCCGCTACAATACACTGAATGCAGAAATGTATGTTTGTCTTAGACAGAAAAACATCACAATTAGAAATATTTAACATAAAGTAAATACTTAAAAGAAAATGGTGTAGACTGTGAAGTGTGATACTCTTTTTGGCAAAACATGTTAATCCTCCTGGATTTATTGTCTGGGGAAAAATTTACACATTTTAAAGCTAAAATAAAATAGGCATTGACAATTTCAATTTTTTTTTTTCCATAAAAAAACAAAAACATAATTGATTATATCGTAAATATGAATGTATTTTTGTTTTTTATGGACTGGTTTTGGGCTGCCTTTGGGCTGTAAAACCGCAGCACAGATCTGGCAACCCTGTCATTTCACGGATAATTTACAGCGTCTCAATCCGCTCCCGTTTCTTTGCGCTTCTCCAGCAGGCGCTATGTCTGAGTGCTACCGCTAGCACGATATTCATAGCATTTAGTCCGGTTACGCTTTCTGACTGATTTGTCTCTGGATTATGTTAAACTTCGAGATGAGATTTCCCGCCGGGAACATGTCCCTGATCGCGTCCTCTGTGGTGCTGCTCGCCGTGGTCCTGTGCTCCTCTCCGGGTGAGATTATTCTGCAGGTCCAGGCCGCACCGTTAGCTTGCAGCGCCGATGTTTACGGTGCAAAACTTTGTATGATAAGTGGCTTTCATGGTTTTATTACTCCATAACAATTAGCAATACGTTTAGTTTCCAATAAATCTGTTTGATAGCTGAAGGTGTATTGTAGCCTAACTTTTCTAATGGGGATCCGCCACCTCTTGTCTTAAGGTGATATAATTGCTATGTCTGGAATGTTCCTCGATATGGTATTAAATTTATCAGTTTTGCATTTAATCTTACTCTGTTACACGTGTATTATTGCTGTAACAATACCTTGAAAAGCATGCATTCTTACTGTGTGTGAGATCGCCTCTTAATAGATCTGACCTGTACTTGCCCTCTTGGCGTCACCTGCTTGTCTCCATGGAGATCGATAAATTTAGTTCATAATGTGGAGTATACTATTACCATAGACTGTATAAAAAAAGTTAATATATACGGTCTATGACTGTGAACCATCTTATATGTATTAGTGTATTATATGTAATGTTTATATGTATTATTTATTTACAGTCGTGGTCAAAAGTTTACATACAGTACACGTTCAGAAACTAAATCCCCTACTAACTTCAAGTTACACGCTTCATCCTTGAATAAGCGGCCATTCTGGAATGCATAGGGTAATAGCTTTTTGGAAATAAAAAGAAAATGAAACATTTCCTGTTAATCATTTATTTATTTAATAGTTCTTTTAACAACACAACTTTTTCAGTGGTTCATAAGTTTACATACACCTACTCGTTCAGGGCTTAGTACTTCGTTGCATTTCCATTGACCTTGATAACTTCAGCAAGTCGCTTTGGATATCCTTCAATCAGCTTCTCACAGTAATCCCTGGAGATCTTGGGCCATTCCTCCTGGCAGATTTCGTACAGTTGTGCTACGTTTGTTGGTCTCCTCTTACGGACTTGTTTCTTCAGTTCACTCCACACATTCTCAATGGGATTGAGGTCCAGACTCTGTGAAGGCCACTCCAACATGTTCACCTTGTTTGTCTGGAACCATTTTGATACTATTTTGGCTGTGTGTTTCGGGTCATTGTCCTGTTGAAACATCCAATTTCGACCAAGCTTCAGACATTTGACAGACTTTTTGAGGTTTCTTTGCAATATTTCTATGTAATCCTCTTTCCTCATGATTCCATTGATCTTCTGGAGTTCTCCAGTTCCCGACGCTGCAAAGCAACCCCACATCATGAGACTTCCTCCACCATGCTTCACAGTTGGAACTGTATTGTTGGGGTGGAAGGCTTCACCCTTTCGCCGGAAAACATACTGTTGGTCATTATGACCAAACAGTTCAATTTTCGTCTCGTCTGACCGCAGCACATTCTTCCAGAAGGCCTTATCCTTGTTCAGGTGCTGTTTGGCAAACTTCAGTCGTGCTTTTCTGTGCCTCTCTTGAAGTAATGGCTTCTTTCTGGCCCGACACCCTCTCAGCCCATGTCGATGGAGAACTCTCTTGACCGTGGATACTGATACATCTGTTCCAGAGGCAGCCAATTCATTGCAGATGGCTTTCTTGGTCGTCTGTGGGTTCATTTTCACTTTTCTGACCAAAAGCATTTCATCTCTGGGTGTTAGTTTCCGCCTCCTTCCAGGCCGTGGCATTACAGCTGTACTTCCACTGTACTTAAATTTTTGGACAATTGTCTGAACAGATGCTCTAGGGACATCAAGCCGCCTGGAGATGGTTCCTAGAGATGAGCCTGCCTTGTGCAAGGCAACTATTCGGTCCTTAATGTCCTGAGTGTGTTGTTTTGACTTCCCCATATCAAGTCAATGCAGTGTGTGTGAAGTTAAGCTGTTTATATACCCCTCAAATATATAAAACCTGTTAATTATGCAATATGACTGAACACTGGACTAAATGGGACCATTGCATGGTTGATTGCACAAGCTGCCTTCAGTCAATGTATTGTTTATTGGGCAAGGCATGTGGGTGTATGTAAACTTATGAACCACTAAGAAGTTGTGTTGTTAAAAGAACTATTAAATAAATAAATGATTAACAGGAAGTTATGCCTTTTCTTTTTATTTCCAAAAAGCTATTACCCTATGCATTCCAGAATAGCCGCTTATTCAAGGATGAAACGTGGAACTTGAAGTTAGTAGGGGATTTAGTTTCTGAACGTGTGCTGTATGTAAACTTTTGACCACGACTGTATATGTAAACTGTGCTGGGAAGACTAAAAGTGTTTGTTAAATAAGCAAACATGAAATTCATATTTCATAAATAGGCCTGTCACGATATATTGCTACAGAGATATACTGTGATGATAATATTGAAACTACTGTATACCACTTACAGAGAGCAGGGTAATCCCAGTAAACCCATCTTTAAGAGTATGATTAAAAAGCCTGCGCTGCAATAAATAAATAGCAGAATGACTATCGATACATCGATAATTAACCATGGCAGTTATGTATACAACCCTTTACAGTTCAAATCTTATTGTATTACATTAAAATGGCTAAAATCTTTCCAATATTGCAAAGTAAAAGTGTTCACAATAAATATTGCCCCAAATAATATTGTTCTAGCTTTCATGTATTCAATGTTAAGTTGATATTATAATTATTGGGACGGGCCTGTCCATAAATGTGTTTTAACATCATCTCCAGCATATCTAGCCTGTTATCCAGACAAGTTCTGTATTTGTATATTCTACAGTCATGTAGTATTGTCCAGGCAATAAATCCACCTAAAATCTCACTGAACATAAGTATGATTCTTTATGTGTAGAGCAGTGGTCAGTTATTGCTAAAGGGCTGTAACCAAGAGATACGGATGTAGTAGATGCCATATAGCTGAAAAATAACTTACTCTGTGACATGTAAACAACAATAACAAAAAAAAAGAAGAAAGAAAGTCACCTCTCAAACAGTTTTACATAGAGCAGGATGAGAAATGTAAACAAACAAAAACATCTAACCATCTCATCTCACTTTCTTTACAGTGAGTGGAAATGAAGACTGCCTGTGGTACGTGGATAAAAATGGCACATGGCACAATGGCTTTGACTGCCCTCTGATCACCTTTTGTTGTGGCAACTGTCACCGCCGCTACTGCTGCCTGGACGCCTTCAAAATGATCACAGAACGTGAACAAAAAAGATGTATGCTCTTTCAATTCAGGTGAGGGCCACGTCTGTAATTGAATGACTTATTGATGAAGTTCTACCAAGACTGTGAGGTTGGGTTTACTCAGTCCAGGATTATGTGTCTTCCAGTGGTTCAGAATATTCAGAGAGTAACTGGTCGTCAAACTTTTAACATCAAGTACCACCAAACAAAATATATGACCTCTCAAGTACCACCAGATCCAAACCAGGTCTACAAAATTGCTCTAAAATTATTTCCAGGTTTAAACTAGGACTGAACCACACCGGGTCTACGCTGAAACTGTTGAACTAATGCAAGAAATGCAGATAGATATTAAGGTACTGACATTACTTAAACCTCTGTGATTTATATTGTGTTTTCTATTCTACTGCGACTATGGCGCTAAGTTAAATCCACTTGTTACTTCTTGGAGATGCATAGACTGAACAAACTGATCAGATAATGCCCAAACCTACCTATAAGGGATTTATACAGAAATACTAGTGTATAAATATAATCACATCTGAAAGTGGAGAATGGGGAGCTGCAGTTGTAAGAAGTTTTTAAAAATCTTTATTTGAAGGTGAAAGACACTGGCTTATTATTCAAAAGACCTTCTTGTGATCGCTAAGAATAAAAGCATTTAAAGTATTGGTAACCTCCACTTGTTTTTCTGAAGATGTGATCTTTTACTGTTGTTTGTGTATCCTATAACTGTGGTGTAATTTGCGGTCTCTTAGCCTTGTCTCCCTTCAAAAAAGGAGTTTTATAATCTCAATAGAATTCTCCAGGTTAAATAAAACATATCAATGAACTGTCATCTTCACCACAGTATTATAGACTTCTCCCAGTGGCTGTGTTTGTTTTTTTTCTGTGCTGCCTGTTGTGCTATATTTTCTCATTAGAGTTTAATGGTGTGAGCTCTGTGTGTTTTAAAGGTGGTTTAAACCCAAGTCCCATGAGAGAAGTGGGGCAAAATGCCAAATTGCAGGGTACACACACACATGCACACGCACACACACACGCAGCAACGTGGCAATTCTCCCTGAAAACATTCACCAGTGTCCAGCAGAACTCACACAGTGTGCAGTGTATTAACACAGATAGGTTCAAGTCTGTGGGCAACTCAGGAGGATGTGGACTGTTTTCTTGTTTTTTCTGAGCTTGTGCTGTCTAAAGTTGGGTCTATGATACACAATGCATGGCTTATGAAACAATATTATATATGGCAATACTCAACAACCCAATACATTTTGACAACAATATTTCTTTGTTAAACCACTACTTGTCAAAGTTGCATCTATTTTAATCATCAAACTGAGAATATGTAAAGTATATTGCATAAAAAAGTTTGCACTAAGTAAGCAACAAAATTGTAAAAAAAAAAAAAAAAAAATTGCTCAAAAACACCAAAGAAAATACTCATGGTGATATATATCGATACAGCATTTTACAGATAGTATAATTTCACTTCTTGTTTTCTTTTTTTATTTTAATTGTTTGTTTAAGTGTGGAGAATATACATGGAGAAAGAAGTTTGAAGTATTTTATAAACCCTTAAAATTACAATATTATGTACAATTTTATAGTCCTGTTTTCGTGTCTTTTTTACTTTTAGCCCGACCACTCTGGCTGGTATTGCCTCCTCCATTCTGTTGTTTGTGGCTATTATCGCTACAATGGTCTGCTGCTTCATGTGCTCCTGCTGTTATCTTTACCAGAGAAGGCAGCAGAGAGGGAGGACGCCTTTTGAGGGTAAGTACTGTTTTTCACTGTACTATAATTTTACTTTACACTCTGCACAATTATTAGGCAAGTGGGTATTTTGACCATGTCATGATTTTTATGCATATTCTTCAGCTCCAAGCTGTATAAACTTGAATTCTTATTCGATTTAAGCATATGGGATGATGTGTATTTGTCTTAACAGGGGAGAGTGTGGTCTAAGGAGATCAACACGCAATATCAAGATGTGCAGAATTATTATTTTATTATTTTATATTAGGCAGCTTCTTTTCTGCAAGCAAAATTGGCTAAAACAGAGATTTAACTGACTCTGAAAAGTCAAAAAATTGTAAAAAGTCTTTTAGAGGGATGCAGCACTCTTGAAATTGCAAAGATATTGTCTTCAGATAGATATCTGAAGACAGATTTTTCAAAGGTTTTATGGACTGATGAGATGAGAGTGAATCTTAACAGACCAGATGGATGGGCCTGTGGCTGGATCTGTAATTGTCACAGAGCTCCACTCAGACGCCAGCAAGGTGGAGGTGGGGTACTGGTATGGGCTGATATTATTAAAGCTTGTTGGTCCTTTTCGGGTTGAAGATGGACTCAAACTGAACCCTA